AAACATGCCTTGTAGGTCCGGGCCCGGGATCGCCTTCTGTTCCTACTGCAAATTTTCTTTTAATTACTCAATCGAGTCAAAACGGGTTTCAGGGACTGGTAACTTGAGTTTCGGAAACAAAATAAAGTCGCATGGCGCCAAATCCGTTGAATACGGTGGTTGATCGTTGATCGTTGATAAAACTAGAAACTGCTTGGAAATTGTTTTTTTTTCGATAATCGCGTTTTGGTTCATCATAAATTTGTTTTAACGGAACAGGCAGTCAATAAAGAGTATTATTTGAGCATTTTGAAGCGTTTGCGCGAAAACATCTGTCGTAAACGACCGTAATTTCGGGCCAACAATTTCCGTAAACTTTCTGGTCTTAATGTATATGTACAAGTTATTTTAAACCTCTGCCGGAATAGTTTATAGTTTCTTCGAGGAATTTTGTTATGTGGCTTTAGTTGAGTCATGGCCTTAGTTGACTTATGGCATGTTGTCTCTTGGAACATATACCTTCTGCTCAACGCAAAACGAGACTTTATCCATAACTCGACAAGGACATGACATATGGCCATACTTTTTTTGCTTAGGTTGGCAGGACTGTTATAAATTTGACTGTCAAATTTGAGAGCGATCTGTCACATAGTTTTTTTTTTAAGGCACTATAAACAAGTCAACCTCGAGTGTGTTTTTCGAATTTTACTATGGAAATTAACGTTGAGCAAAAAGTGTTTGCTTGAAATTTTGTTATTCCAATGAAATAAGTGCGACGGACGCAATGAAAATGTTGCAGAAGGCATATGGGGAGTCTTGCCTATCACGTGCACGTATTTTTGATTGGTATAAGTCGTCCAAGGACGGCCGTACATCGCTGGAGAACTTGCCCCATGATCGTCGTCCAGCAACGTCAATAAACGAAGAAAACGTCGAAAAAGTAAAGAAAATTGTGTTGGAAAATCGTCGTGTGACTGAAAGAGAGATAGCTAGTGAGCTCAACATATCAAATGGATCCGCTCATAGCATTATTCACGATGTTTTGGGCATGAGACGTGTGTCTGCTCGACTTGTTCCAAAATACAGCTCATACGTCTCGTCTTGTACGCGATTATTTGACCAAAAACAACGTAAATATTGTTCCGCAAGCACCGTATTCACCCGACATGGCACCGTGTGACTTTTTTCTTTTCCCTAAACTCAAATTGCCGCTTCGTAGAAAGCATTTTCAGTCGATTGAAGTAATAAAAGAGAATTAGAAGAAGGAACTGAAAGCCATACCTAAAGCGGCCTACCAGAAGTGTTAGGAAGATTGGAAAAAAAAGTGGCATATGAGTATCGCCTCTAATGGTCACTATTTTGAAGGGGATAAAATAAATATTGAAGAATAATTAACCGTTTTTGTTGTTTGAGCCAGTCTCGTTTATATTTGAGCAGAAGGTATTTGGCTTTAAAGAGCATAAAATATTCCAGCAAGCCAAATAGTAGTTGGAAGAAGTTTTTACGAATCTTTATTCGACGATGAATCTTTAGTCTAACGGTGTTGTGCTTTGTAAAAAAAATTCGAATAAAAAATGTGTTGTAAAAATGATTTTGAGAACCATCCTAATGCTAACGTGCTAATTTGTAAGCGTATGAACAAACATTTTTCGATAAACGAGCTGAAGGCTACGAAGATTTTTATGCCTGAAATATTTGCGCTCTATCGATTCTAGTAAACGCGATTAAAATCGAACGAAGGGTTTAGTGAATAAGTACAATTTTTAGATTCTCAGATAGCTCCGAAGAATCATACTTCTATTTATTTCAGCAAACATGGAAATTCGATACATAAGGTTTCATAACGATCAAACCCGACGATTTCTATTAATTTATCGATATTTTCGTCAATTGGTTTTCCAAATCTTTCTTTGACATAAAAATAACCCAAACGAATTCGATGATTATTTGACTGACGAAGGAAAACTGTAAAATATGAGTCGAGGCATTTTCTGTTCTCTTCTCAGGCATTCATAAAAGTGTCTGAAAATTTCGTTTAGTACGAAGTTTTATCTTTCTATATATTCTATAGGGTAACCGTAGACCTTATATTACCTGCTAAAAAGCTTAGTTAGTTATGCTTGTAGTTATAATTTATCTTGTCGCAATACTTTATTTGACTCATATTTTTAATATCTTTAATTTGGAACCTTATTAATGGGTATAGTTGGTATTCATGGTATACATTCATATAACATGGAATGAGGTGTTAATTTAGTACTACATTTTCCATGCACTTTATAAGCGTCTCTCAATACGATAATTTACGTAAATACTCCTGAGTCTCTATGCCAAAGAGCAACAATTTCCAGTATATTTCGCATTCAAGACGCTTGCTAGAATTAACAAGTTGTTAAAGCATAAAATTATTGAAGCGCAAAAACATCGTAACACAAATAGAATTTACTATCAAAAGCACGCCTCATTTCATACAATAATTAAGCAAATGGAAGACAAATTATCCGAAGCTGTTTCCCAAAGCGTATTAAAGCACTGAGTGAATTTGCACACCCACTTGAAATTATTTGCTTTCGACCAGTGGGGTGAATATAAAAAAGCAGGTCAAAAAACTGTGCTGACATTCCTTTGATGCATTTGTCCTGCATACCGTCGCATCGCATCACTGTCCGAAATGCGCTGCGAGCGTGACATGAATTCTTCAGCATTTGCATTTCCTATTTTTTATCTGATCAGCCCAGCCTCAACCATCAACGCGATGCATGGCGCGCTAACCCATTTAGGCGCTGTAAAGTAAGCATTGCTTGTAATATAAAACCCCAAAGGCGAATAAGTAGATGGCAGTATACAATTCAGCTAAATAACCTGCCTCCTGATTCACTACCGGGTTCGGTTTGAGGTAATGCTCAGGCGTACAGTAATGAAGTGGAGTATTTAAATGATAACAGGGGGAAAATCAAAACAATGCGACTAAACAGGTCGTGGTTTTCTATTAGAAATAAAAAACATATAATTTAAATTTGTGGCCAAGAATTTAAAATTAATATAAGGATAGATAAATAGATAATGATTGAGGTATGCACCGCGACCTATGGTCTATTGTGCCCTCGCCTAAATCACAGCGACTCATCTAGCCCTAGCATATTGATGAACTCCAATATACTGCTAGGTGCCAATGAGGCGATGTGATCCGTGTTTGGAGACATGGAACCCAGGGCCTTGACTCTATGTCTGCAGACTGCTGTGCAGTCCATTAGTAGGTGTTCTGTTAAATAAGTGCTTGCAGGCTTAATGCAATTTCCGGTGTAGAACGCGACCAGAAGTCGGAATTTGTTCATCGGGAGATTGATTACGGTTTTAAACTGTCTGAGGTTATAACCGCCCATTAGCAACTAGGCATGGCGCATGCCTTGGAGATGTTGCCAGTGTCTCTCCCTGCCTGCTCTTTCCTCTTTACGGAGCAGCTCCTTAATGGTATGTGGACGAACCGCTACACACGGTTCTGGTCCTACCATGTTTGTAGAGGCTGCAGAGCGGGCCAACTCGTCAGCAAGGTCATTTCCTGCTATACCCCTGTGACCAGGCACCCAGATGAGGTGCACTCTGTTGAGACTTGATAGGCTGTTCAGCCGTTCTATACACTCCTGCACTAGTAGCGATTTGACCTCAAAAGCCGAGATCGCTTTAAGTGCTACCTGACTATCGCTGAGTATGGCGATGCTCTTATTGCTGTAGTCGCGTTGGAGGTTTATTTCTACACACAGACTTATAGCACATACCTCCGCCTGGAATATGCTAGAAAAACTTCCCATGGGAATGGAGAGCTTGGTGCGTGGTCCTGCGACCCCTGCGCCAATCCCCTCCTCCGTTTTCGAGCCGTGGGTGTACCACTTGATGGTACTGTTCCTTAGTAGTAGGTCCAGCGTGGAATCGTACCATTCTGTCTTACTGCCAAAGGTAACCCTGAACTTCCTAGTGAAGCTTACTGTTTTGGTAATGCTGTCCCTTGGAAGAAGGGCCAGTAGCATTGCGTCACTTAGAGCCTTCATCTGCTGGGACGAGATTACCTTCCCTTTGCCAAACCCTTCTGCTGACATTTGAAGCAAGGTCTGTTTGGCCGTCTGCTCGATCACTATATGTAACGGTGTTAGCTCCAGCATTACTTACAGAATATAAGGATATGGGTTTGCCATTTTGTTTTAAAAGTTATCTCGGGAATGTGACAGACGCGGCTGGCTCGAAAAAATTCCAGCCGAGACGCCCAATTTTCAAACATCCGGTAAAGTAAGTATGTTAAACTAACGCGATCACAAAGTATGCGAAAAATGTTTGCATACTTTTAGGCGAATTTTCGCATATCTCAAGCGGAACAAGTCAATTGAAGAGCAGGGTGATTCGAAAATAATATAAAATTAAACTTTTTTTAATGGCAAATAAAAATATTTAATTTAATAAAAATTTTAAAATAGCTACCCCACCTTTTGTAACACTATATCGGTTGAATTGAACAATACTATTCAAATTAGTTATTTCAATCGGATTATCAATGGTTTTTCTCACTTATCTTGGCTGGCGATTTCAACATCAACTTCGCTGATAAAAAAACAGAGCGGTTGACAAATTTTACTTTCTTAAAAATTGAATTTGAAAATAAATAATGATCCACAAGAATCTACAACAAAATATGGGACCACCATTGACGCGGTATTTTCCAGATATTTAGAGGATATCAAGTCTCAAACTTATGTTTTTTATTTCAGTTACCATAAACCTATAGTTTCAATCAGAGTTAAAGAGATGCCCAACTCATCTCTCACTGGAAATGAGAGCGCAATTGGTAAACGTCAAAACCTCTTGAACTCAGTCAACTGTCAAAGTTCAGGTAGTCTGACATTAAGCAATTTGAAAAAGAGGGACGGCCAGATTGAAATCCTACAGAAAAATATGTGAACAGAGAAATTTGTTGCTGCTGTCGAAGATCACTAAAAAAAATTGGAAAACAATGAAAATGAAAGAAAACGCGAAATTGAAATGTAGGTGATGTTTTGTGAAGTCATTCTTAGTAGTATTTATTTTCAATTGAAAATTATAAAAAAAAATTTATTAATTGAGAGCTAATACATTAATTCTTTTGATTAAGTATTGAAAGTTTAAAAATCAATTGTTTTAATATATTATATTACAAAATCACAAATAGGGTTTAAATATCCTATAAAAATACAATAACAAACTGAAATTAACTGTCAATACCGCGATCTACCAGTTTTTTGATCTTATCAAATATCGAATTTTGACAGGCCAAAACGCTCTTCTTTTTAAAACGTTGCCATTTTGCCAATTTTTGTTTTTTTTTCGACCGTAGGTCAATGTACAAACAATATCTTCTAAACGAGATTTTTTTAGGTTATATCCATCTAGAAAGCCGAAATCACTGCAGCAGTAAAAGAACTTTGATTAGCATCGTCGGAGATCGGCTGTAAGTGGAAAAATATTAAATTTTTTCCTTCCAAAATTGTTTCTGCGTATTCTTCAAATATGTAAAAATGAACAGTTAAAATTTAAAAACAATTGATATAGAAGTTTTTTTTTTCAATTCCCAAAAATCGCACTTTTTTACACACTGTCACACCGGCAATTTCCGGTATTTCCAGACAGTAAGTAGTAAGGGATTTTATGAGTCCATACTAGCGCTTTTGTCTTATTATCCAATTCAGGTTACTATATCCGAAGCATTTTTTTTGGAAAATACAGTTATCTAGCACAGTTAGATGCGTTCATCGATAGAAACAAACGTCCTTTTAATGCCTACTTTTGGCATTCATTTCACCAATTTTTGTAGCAGAAATGTTGTCGAACAATTATTAATTTAAACATATGCCTACGGGCTCGCTGTGACCTACGTTTTGCACCTACTAAATGCCTGCAGCACCCACACCAGGCGCGCTCTCTTCTATGCTCCATGCGTTACCCTCACTACTCCTGTCTCACGCCTACTTACTCCCATTGATAACGCTGTCTGTAGCCTTGTCTTCGCAGCAGGCGCTGCTCGCTGTGGTTTAACCCATTGATTTTTATTGCCAACGTCGCAAAAACGCCTCGTCGTCCTCTGCTCAGTCGCTCACGCATAATTTACATGCGTCTCAGTGTGTGTTTGTGTGCTTTTGTTTTGTTTTTGTGTCTGTCTGTCGAGCTCAATGCGTTGTTGTTATTTTGATTGTCATTACTGTTCTAGTTAACTGTTATTTGTAGGCTTTTGTATTGTTGTTAAGTCATTTTATCCACGTAATTGCTAGCTGGCTGTGTGCGCCTATAAATATACTATAGTTGAAATGGCGCTGCTGTCAGTGGGTCTGGTATCCGGGTATTGTACGTATTGGTATTTGTTATTTGTATGTTGTTATTTTTGTTGTTGGTATTCAAGTTATTTCGCCTTTGCCGTTGTTGCCGCCATTATTTGCGGTCGTATTTCTAGTGGCTGCTGCTTTTTATGGCTCGCGTTGCTATTTTTGTTGCTGGCAGACAGTTAGATAGACATCGGGTTCAATGAAGTTAACATTTTAGCAAACATACATATGTACATACACACACGCTTAGAGCATGTAGACTTGTATCCACATGTAGAAAGAGGCATGAGCTCAGTCGCGTCGTTGCCAGCTGTTTTAAATTATATATATCTTTTTTATATTTTTAAGAAATTTTTTATTCAAGAACCGCACTATTTTTGGAGACTTTAGAAAACTGTTTTAAGAGCGCTCCAAAGATCTTGAGGAGCACACTTCTCTCGAATGCTTCAAGTGCTTGCTTTTTTAATGACAGTTTGACAGTACCTGCATTTGAGCTATTCGCTGTGATAAAACTTGTCTAAAATCCATAAAACAAAACTGGTCTAAAACATTTGTAACAAATTTGGTCTTGGAACCATTGAAGTTATACCATGATTATACTAAATTGTATAGTTAGTTTGAGACCAGCAGTAACCGAAATTTCCCGATGGAGAATTCCAAATTTTGTAAAAATGTTAAAAAAAAAGGTTTCAATATATCTGGCAACTCGTAAAATCCTTACCACCCATCATCCATCATCCAATAATCCTAGCTGACGAAACCGAATGCAGTCACCAACCACACCGAAATTTTTTACAAGCCCATATGTATGTATCTGTATGCATGTACATATCAAAATCTAAATTCGTTGCAACAAAAGCAGACATGAAAAAAGCGTAAATAGAAAACAACAATAGTTGTGGTGTAAGCGTATTAGGAACGGGCGGACATAACTGACAAAGGATATATATTAGGGTGTGTCAGTTTACACCGAAACGGGTATATTGAGCCATAAGGTTCTAATATCCAGTAAGAAACGTCGGATACCCTATAATGTATTGTATATATATAAATGGTCAGCGTGACGATCTGAGTCGGTTTAGTCGAGTCCGTCTGTCTGTCTATACGCGCATTAGTCCCTCGGTTTTTGAGTTATCTTGAGTTATCATGTTTCTCCCCCAAAAAGCTGTTGATTTATATATATATATTTTTTTTATATGACAAGATATCTTTACGAAATTTAACATGGTTTCTTGTTAAATTCCAAGGCAACGCTACAATCTCTTAACAAATTGTTCAGATCTAACACTATAAGATATAGCTGCCTTACAATTTTTGAAGATTCACATTTGAGCATTGTAAAAATTAACCTTTTTATTTAGTTGAAAAAAGTTGATTTTAAGTGCCACACCTTAATATACATACCATCAATGTATCAGTGTAGGATCTGCTACTAGAGCGGATGTGCCAATGAACGAACGAAATAACTGCCAGCCATACAAACAGAACGACGTAAGGACGGCGTAACAAACACTATTCACTCAGCAACAAGGAGCACCAATTAAGAGCGCGATGACGTTGAGCTACGTAATTGTAGCACAAACGTGAAGTACACATAGAAAAAATCTAGTAATCGTTTGGATACGTTACGCTTTGCAGACGGCGCTACATTTGCAGTGAAAAGAGCGCGCTATGCTGCGAAATGTGGCCAGGTAAGAGCAGAGTTTAGCGTAAAGAGCACGTAACAAAAACGCTCTGCAACCACACACACGCGCGGTGACAAACATTACCAAGTCAGCATGCAATTCCATAGTAGTTGCATGTTACGCACGCTACTTCGTACAATTCATTCTCGTTGGCGCTGTGTTGTCTGCTGGGCAAAATAACGCGAACGAAAACGTGGAGCAGTTAAGTGTGTGTACGCAGCTTCACGAATGTGCCAGGCCAGCACACACGAGACGAGCAGAGTGCCTATATAAAACGGCATATCAGCAGTGGCAGCGCTGTCATTCGCCGGCGGTGCTTACAACCAGTGTGTATACGGTTTAAAAGGTGCGCGCAAAACGTCAGTTCAACTAAATAAAACAACGAAAACGTCAAAAAAAGCGAAAAAAAAAAACAAAAAATCATATACAAAACAAAGGGCGCTGGCAAACTTAACTGTGGCTGCTGGTTGCAGTGCAGTCGCGACCAAGTGACTTGAGTCCATAAACTCCAAAAGTGAACACTGCTAATTTGAAATTGTAACATACATACGTTCATACATATGTGCATAATATCATACATAGCTATCAAGCAAAAAATTTAAGACACAGCAAAATAAACATTGTAGTAATTTTCTTTGTGTTTTGCTAAATACGCGCAGTTTGATAGACACTGGAAGGCAGGTGTGCGGGAATTTCGCGCTGCCAGCAGTGCTTCGACATTTATTATATTATTATTAATATTCATTTCTTGTGGCAAATCATAAACCACTGACTGGTGACTGGCTGTTATCGCTTTTGTTTATTATTATTATTATATTGTATACATGAAAACATTTGAGCGCTGATGCGACGCTTCGAGTGCATTTGTGTGCGAACAACGTGTGCTCCACTTTTGTGCGTAAGAAGAAGAAGCAGCAGCAACAATAGTTGATTGCAGTAGCGCAAATTAGCTGCAATACAAAAACAAAAACAAAACTCAAGTGAAGGCATAAACAAAACAGTGTTGTATTAAAAATACAAAAAATATAACAAATAAAGCAAATATAGTGCATTAAGCCAAAGAAGGTGCGTTAAAGATAATTAGAAAAGGCGTGTAACTAGTGCTTTTGACAAGCATAAGCTGAGGGTATAAATTTGAGCGCTTAAAAAATTAAGACAAAAATGGATACAGACAACAAAAAGCCTTTTAAGGTGAGTTCAAATAAATTTGGAAAACGCAATAAAGAGCTTTCAAATGTTAGTTTAGTTCTTTTTGAATGTTATTTTTCATTACTAAACATGTTTAAATGTTTGTATGCTGAGTTTTTTATTTCTCAAAAATATTAATTCGTAAAATATTTGCTGTTTATTTTTAAGAATATAAAACTAACTCAAATAACAAATTATAAATATGTATAATATCTAGTAATTAATTTATTTATAATATATGCATACACACAAACATATGCTTACTTAAATACAGCTCTAATTTAAAACTTTTTTATCATATATTTTTATAATTTCTAATTTGTTTTTTAATTTATAGCTTTTTTTAAATAATTTTTTTTGTAATATTTTATTTTTATTTGTAATATTTTACTTTTCTTGTAATATTTTATTGTTGTTTCCAATTTGTTTTTTTTGTATTTTGTGTTATTACAAAAAAAAAAAAAAAAAAACTGCATATACTCCATAGTACGAGTTCATGAACATGTGTCTATTTTTGGGCGTCTCACCAGTTTTAGACATATTCACTTGCTGTTGTCCTTAGCCACCGCTGTTGCTTTTGTTTTTATTATAAACGTGCATATATATATATTTGTATATATATTTCATACTGAAAACTGGGTGAAACTGTATGCTTTCTTTTTGTGCACCCAATTCTGGTTTATTTTATTATTGCGTGCTAGTAGCTCTCTTAGAATTAGAAATTAAGAGAATTAGCTGTAATGCGTACATACTCAAGAGTATTGCGTCGACTTGTACTGTTGGTTAACGTTGAGCTATGAGAGTGAGCGAAAGTGTGTGTTGCCATATGATTATTTTCAGAAAATCTTTTAAATTTTGTTTTATTAGTAGTTGAATTACTCGTCGGTTAGAAATCATGTAGATTTTAAAATTGAAAATATCTACATGATTTATTATATAATTCATATAACTGAGAGATAAGGAACATAAGTGTTATACTAGGAAATAATGTTTTACTACTATATATACTAAAAGTGAAATCTACATGAAAACATTTGTTGTAACGATCCTCCCACATTTCGATACCGGTTTGAAAGCGTGAAACTTCATATTTGAGCGAATTAATATTTCTTGCGAGCCGCTTTTTCAGTTTGGAGAGGTGAAAATTGTCGCTGGGACAAATTCTGACGAATATTTTGGGTGGTGAACTAAATCCTAGCATTCCGTTCTACTACTCTTTGTGGCGTTCCTTATCATTAATTGGGCTAAAAATATATGTCGAAACAAATCTGTCGTGACAACCTTAAAAGTAGCGATTTTTGAGAATTAAAAACAAGTAGCAATTGTTTTTAAATTTTATGTGTATAGTTTTACATATTTTAAAAATACACAGAAAAAAATTTTGTGGCTGAGACCCAAAAAAAAATCTTTTTAGAAGATATTGTCGGTGTAATAACCCAAATTCGAAATTTGACAAAAAGCGGTGTTTTTAAAAAAAGTAAGTATATTTTTACTAAAATTTTGGTCGTTTTGGACTGCAACAATTCGATTTTTGATCAGATGATGAACTATATACAAAACATACAAAAAAATTTGATAGTGATCGGTTGCTGTTGTTGTAGCAGTTATATAATCATTTAACGGTAGGCCTAGAAAACATGCTGTTTCGACGTCATATTTAGTATTGTGGGGTCAATTCTTGAGAAGTAGGAGTTTAATCTGCTACAGTATCCAAAACGAAGTTGCGCAATAGGCTGTCCAATTTCCACCACAGCCGGTTCCACACTACCGAAACTGACGCGCACCGGCCAAACGCTGTTATTTTGACGATCTAACCCTGTTTGGATCGTCAAGTTTAAGGTTAAGTTTGTCATCATTGGAGCATCTACTAGCAGCAGGGTTGCTCCACATCCTCCTGAGCCGATGCCGTGCCGGCATTGAGTCCAACCCAGGCCTGGAAGAGTTTTTTTGTTGCGTTTGCGCTAAAAGGCGCCATCCAAACTTCACCTCGGTAAGGTGTAATACATTGTGCTCGGATCATTTGTCTCCGCCTAATCACTGCAGCCAAAAAAAAAAAAAAATACAAAACGCGAGAAAACCGCGTTTAAGGATAAACCGTTTCAGCTGATTTAACTAAGCTGCTATACTTTAAAAGTCTGTAACCCGAAAAATGTTTGAATTATATGTATTGAAAATATGGTATTTTTAGAGGTAATATGCAAAAATATAAGAAAATTGTTTTCAAAATATCGTACAAGGTGTGTTCTTTAACTTTTTTCCACTGTTAACTAAAATAGTAAAGGTGTTGCTACCTTTTGACTAATAACTTGAGAACGCGTAGTTCAAAAGTCATGATATGAACTTTAAGGCTAGTACTCTAATTAAAATTAAAATTTTTTTATTATTAAGCTTATATACATTAGAAACTTACCTCTAATAAATAATATGCTATATATGTGTGAAATATAGATATAACTAAAATATGGCTCGAATTATGTAGTAGCACTTTTTAAATAGAAATAATATATTTCATAATAACATTAACTAATCTCAATTGCATTTCTTCAATTTTTAAATGTATACTGCTTTTTAACAATTTTCTATAATTCCTCTAACTCTTAACTTTCTGGCAACACTCACCGCTTTGAAATGCTGTTATTACTCCACTCTTGCTGTTGCTGTAATTTTTTTTTCAATTTACTCATTACTGTTGTTAAAGTTTCTTAAATTGTTGCTGCGCAGCTGATAAAAGAGTCGACGCCCAACGACAAAGCACTGCAAGAGGTGACAGCGACAACAATCGAGAATCTTACCTCACAATGGACAATGACGTCGTTTATGCTGGCGTTGACCAACTGTCATTGTCAATCGCATATCCACAAACATATGTACATGTATATATACATATATATAGGTATATATATATACACATATGTCAGTCAGTTTTGTTTTTTGCCACTGTGGGTGGTTCGTTGCCTTCCCTACACTTTCTTCCCAACGTGTAGCCAAGGGTATACTTCATATTTTAATGGTTTGTTTACTTTTTTGTTTCGCTTTGTTTGCACCCTTTAAAAGAACGGTTTATTCCAATTCTTGCTCACTGCTTTTATCCAGTGTTTGCGTGGCAATAAGTATGCGTGTGCGGTGTTATTTACACTTCAAAGGAAGCTTAGCATGCGACGGAAATGACAGTAGTCGTTAAAGTTGCGTAGGACAGTTTACACACATAGATACGTATACACATATGTGCAATACATAAGTATGTATGTATGTATGCGTATAGTTTATTTTTCCGCAAGGAAATTCTGTTGTGGAAAACCTGTAGTGACTTGAAAAAGTAAACGAGCGCGACGAGTGTACTAACAATATCAAATAGTGTGTGCGTATACCGCTATATTGACACACCACTCAGTCGTAAGCGTTGAGCTCACTAATTATCTGAATTTAATGATGGTTTAACATTCAAATGCAATAGAATAATGTTTGCAAATGTTTGCAGTGTAAGTTGTAAGTACTCAAAATGGCAAGGTCTATGAGGAGCATCGTGCGCAAGCATTCGTGACCCTTCATGATAATCAAAAATAATAATAATAAAAAAAAAACGGTGACTTTGACTGCACCGAAGCTACATATAATAACCTTTACAAATTAAAATAAATAAACAACAAAACTTGATTCCGATCGTTCAGTTTGTATAGCAGCTATAAGCTGCAAAAGGAGATCCTATAAAGTATATGTATATGTATATGTATATAAACGATTACGTGACGAGCTGAGTTGATTTAGCCATGTCGGTCTGATCGGTAAGTTGTATAGCAGCTTTAGTCCGATCCTAACAATTTCTTCAGAGATTGTAGCGGTGCCTTGAATAATAATCTCTCTGCCAAATTTCGTGAGGATATCTCGTCAAATGAAATAGCTTGCCCTTCAAGTTTTTGGTTCCGATCGTTCAGTTTGTATGACAGCTATATGCTATAGCGGTACGATATCGGCGATATGTTGTATGTTATATAGACTCTCGTTTTCCAAGGACCTTGTTGAAACCTGCGAACCTGCTTCGAAGAAGCCGAAGACTGCCATATCGGCCGAAGAGTTGATTTCTACAATACTTTCTGCCTAGGATTCATAAGGTAAAGTCACTCGCCGGTAGCAAATATTTGAGTCGAATGAGGAGGTTAACTCTGGCTACTGTGCAGATCTCTAGAAAATGCGAGCACTTGCAGTATTCCTGCGTAGAGAAATAAATACAAAATTTTATGTTAATTTTTTAGGCAAAGAAGAAAGAAATAGAGGTGGCATCAGCTCGAACCAGAAAGTCTAATACTTTATTACTGGGTTATTTTTTATTGTTTTTTTTTTTAAAATTTTTTTTGGTATATTTTGTTTCAAATTTTTTTCAGTTGGATGACCAACTGAGCTGAGTCTTGCTATTTATTTTTTAAATAGTAAGTAAGTTCAGTAATAATTCAAAATAAAATATTTACATTTTCGTTCTCCTCTACTCCTCTACTCCTTGAACTTCAAAATATACCCAAATATTTGTGAAGCTAACTTTGTGCCACTTTTCAGATTATTTCTTAATTATTTCCGTAATGTTGTTTTCATCACAACGGAGGCTTATGTAGGGCAGGATAAAACTGAAGAAATGATAAATCGAAGAAAGAATAATTATAAAAAATGTGAAGAAAAATTCCCCGTAAAGCATACTTTCGAGGGCGCATTTTGATGCAGACATATATACTTGTATGGACTATATATGTTTGAAAATCATTTTTAAAACACGCGTAGGATCCAACCGTGCAGACCGTGTTTTCTTGCGAATTTCTGTTTTATGCATTTTACATTTTTATTTAATTACTTTTTGTAAAAATCAAATTTAATACTTAATGATAAAGTTATACAAATTATAGATTGAAAAATATAAAATTTTCCGTAAAATAAAACTAAATTGTCTTAGGGTGTGCACACAAGCTGCTGAACTAACTGTATTTTGTTTTTCCGCTTATTATATATTTAGTTGTTGTTTTTTTTCTGATGATTAAAATCGCATGCCTGAATGAGTGCTGAATGACTGCTATGGCTAACGGGATGCTGGGCGAAAGTTAAGTGGCGAACAAGGCAGTAAATGAATGTAAATAAATAATTATGCAAATAAAAAAGTGTGTTCAAGTAATTGCGGTAAATTAAGAGACGCGCCTTGTTTTTTATATAATTGAAAAAGAAAGAAACTTAAACAAAATAAGGTGGGTTTGGCACTAGTTTGCGGTTTTGAATTTCAAAATTGTAGAATTTAATTCAAAAGATGAAAAAGTATAAGGAATTGCTGCACTAATAATGAATATATTTAGGTGAATTTTATTTAATTAAAAAAATATATATAATGTTGTAAACTTTAATGTTCAAAAAGGAAAATATTTTTTGTCAATTTCTTTATTAAACACTGACTATGAAGTTTCCCACGAAGTATGAAAAAAGAAAGCGTCCGCGATGATTTAATGAATATATATAAATGATCAGCCTGACGAGCTAAGCCATTCCTGTCGGTCTTCCTGCTCTGTCTGCCTGTCTGTATATACGCCAACAAGTCCCTCAGTTTTAGAGATATCGATTTGAAATTTTACACACACACTTTTCTCCGAAGAAGCTGCTCATTTGTCGGAACCGCCGACGTTGAACCATTAGATCATATAGCAGTCATACAAACTAACCAAACAAAATCAAGTTCTTGTATAGAATACTCTGACGGGATATCTTCAAGAAATTTAGCATGAATTATTATCTAAGACTAGCCTAAAATATCGGCAGTAAGTTTTCAGATTGAACCATTTTCATATCAAGTCCTTTTATGGAAAGCTTTTTTTTTAGTTGACTAGAAATCTTCACGTTGTGGCATAGATTATTATCCAAGGCAACGCTATAATCTCCAAACACATTTTAAAGATCAGACTACTAGAGCAATAAAAGCTGATATCTTCCATTATAAAATCTCAAGCGATCTATTGGGCCGACACTTATTTTATGCAAATAAATATAAAATTCGGTTAAATATTACTATTTTTTGTTGCCGAGGAATTCAATTTAATTTATGTTTTTTTTACCTAAAGCTTCCGCTTGATGACGCTGACTGAAAACTTTTTGAAATTGTTTTCATTTTTGGCGAAATAATTTTTTGTACTGATTCATTTCAAATTTGCCAATATAACCAAGGTATAAAGCCCATACAATTTTTTTTGGATTTTGGTGTATATAGAGCTTACAAATTTTTTGGATCCATGGTGTATATAGAGCTTGGCGGCATAACTTCTTTGGGAGAAGCCTAATAGATACATAGTATATAAAAAAATTGAGCTTTGCCACCTGTGACCCACTTCCTATTCACATCATGGGAAATATGCTCATGATGTCTGTAAATGATGCGACTTTCTTTAGCTCTAATTTAAGCAGCGACTCTATTTATATATATTTTTGAAAATATTTTTAAAATATAATTTTATTATTGATTTGTTATACACTTTTAAATATTATTTTCAATTTTCATATTTATTTATATGAAAAAAAATTACATACATAATTAATATAGATTAGCTTAAATATTTTGTTCCACTGTACAGTCGTTTCCTAATATGACAAGGTCAATTGGCAGCCATGAAGGTGAAACGTATCGGTGCACTTAATTAGGAAGAAATTCAAAATAATTGCGAACCTGCGATACATACACTACGCTTTGCTGAAGTGTTGACTTTTCTGTGAACGCTGTACATCAGCAAGCAATGCAATTTTTCAGCATATATGTGTGTAATGTACTTGTGCATTTATTGCTGTATACGGGCAGTCAGTACTAACTTATGTTAAGGTTACTCATCCGCTGTGTTTGACATTTCGAAGTTGTAAATGCCGTCCAAAATGAATGCCAAAATGTTTTAATGAGTAAAGAGGCACATTAGGTTTGTGGAAAGAAAATAATAATGAGAATTTTGTATTGCTATGAAAATCTGTTTTAACACTAAAATATTACAAAAAAGATAATACATAACTGATCTATTTATAATTTCATTTTAATACTCGTACATCAAAAAGTTATAAAAGCCCACGCCAAAAAAGTAATTTTTGAAGTCCTTACGAACCACAATGCTTATAAGAAAGCTGTAAAAAATACGCCACTCAATAATGCCGCTGTTATATAAGCATGTATTTGCGCATAACTGTGTGCTTGTGCGTGCTCACCATTGCGTGTCACTGCACGGCGCTGCCAAACTGGCTGCAATAATCAAGGCATAGCGGGTAACTAAATTTCAAAGCGTTTGCAAAATGCTTGTCTGCTATATATATATGTGTGGGTTTTGGTAAGGCGCGTAGGATTTCGTTGCGTGTCTTTTGATGCTCATGTTGGCTGCTAATGGGCGTATAAGTGTGCAATCATAAGTTGAAAGTTAGCTTGTAAACGTGTTGTTCAAGTTTTTTTCGTTTTTTGTTTTTGTTTTTATTTTTGTTTATTTTTTCTTCTTTTTAACTTCAACAATATCATATTGACAATAACAAAAGTGATTGATTGCTGCTAAAAATTTCCAAACAGCAACATCAATTTAGTTATATAACCTTGATTGATGGCAGGGTTAGACATTAGAGGTTAGAGTATACAAAAATTTTCCATTTTGATAATAAATTAATTTGTATATTTATAATATTTTCGGAATATGTTATTACATGATATAATTCACCTAGCGGTTGTTTGAAACTCCGAAAATTAATCGAGATAGATTTAGCGTTATATATACAAATATACAGAGTGACGAGACGTGTTGATTCCGAGTAATTGCCTGTCCCTCCGTCCGTGCAAGCCATAACTTCAGTAAAAATTTATAATTAATTATCAATTGGCGGTTAATATTGCAGATGTTTGGCATCGGACCATTGCCACTCCTACGTAATATACCAACCACATCTAATTTCTATATAAAACAATTTTACTTTTTTCGAAGCCAAACTTTGCACAAATAGTGCCTTCAAGATATAGCATTTTTTACCCAAAAATTATGAAAATATGACTGTACATTTGCAGTGCCCCGGATATTGTCTGACTAAGATCGGTCAATCTGTGGGGTATATTAATGAGATTCAGTATAATATTTTTCTAATAAAAATGTGGTTCACTTTATACCTTGTACTCCTATATCGGTGAATATGTGCTTTATCTTAAGTTGAGACCTTTTTTCTATAATAATTGTCTATCTTTGAGCCGAAAATCGTTAAAATACGAATTAAACTTCGACTAGCCATCATAAACCGAATATAACTTCCTATTTAGTGTGTTCTATAATCCAACTCTGGCTAGGTGGTATAAAAGTTCTTAGTTCGCTATTGCCGGCAGTAGATTTTTAAGAGAAATAATGCTCCTTCTAATTGCTGCTTTAATCCAATACCGTTAGATATTTATACAGCAACTGTGTAAGCCTTTTCTTTGTACTTAAATTGAGTTAGACTGCGTTTTATCGAAGAAAATTTTGATTTTACTAAATCTTTGATCTATTGATCACTAGCTCCTTTGCCACCATCCATGAATAATTTTTTTTAATATACTCAGATTTTCGACTATAAATATCTAAGCGTTAAATTGATCCACTAGCGTTGCTTGCTAAGGCTTTGGATTAGATAAACGTTTCTGCAACTATATCAATTTTTGAAAATAATCTAAACTTTTCGAATAGATTTTTAAATTTGAATTTTGAAAGTGACAAACTTGATTATTCAATAGAATCTACTTTTTATTTATAGAAAAGGGCGTTATTAGCACAAGTGTGTAACTTAACCTTACAAAGCTAGAAATATTCCATTTATTACCAAAAATAATACCTCATGCAACCCTTTCGCTATCGATTTACATACCACGCTACGACTGTAATCAATTCAATATGCTTCAGTGGCGTTTGTCTCCTCATGACTGTGCAAACTTTCTTTTCTTCTACAAAATATATGTTATATTATCATAGTTGTTCACTACACCTATGTATACCCATATGTTGCGGACAAGAATGCCTCGGGTCATACTATATGTGTCCATATTACAAACAGTTGATCTGCAGGCGGAAATGTGTTGATATGCTACTAAGCTGTAGGTAGTGGGTGCTGAAAATTGAAAATTGGCGAAAAAATGGCTGCAGAGCACAATAAAAAGAAAGTAAAGAAAAACATTTGAGTAGTGTTTTGCAAAATGCCAAACAAGTGCCAAAAGGTTACAGGAAATGTAAAAACAAGTAAAGCAAGCAGCAAAAGAGCAAGCAAAAAAAAAGAGCGAAAGGATGCCATTGTTAATGCAGTGTTTGGTTGCTAAACGTCAAAGTGGAATTTCGTTTAGCTATTGATATGCCTTTTGCTAGTGCAAATCGTCTGGAAAATTAAACTGGATACCATGATAATAGACAAAGGCCGGAAAAATGCTGCTAAACTGAGAGGAATGAGATAAATTTTGTGAAATGCTTAGATAAGAGAGTGTGTAAATTAGAGATGTATGACTTTAGATTTACATAAATCAAGAAACAACGTTAACTTCGGCTGCACCGAAGCTACTTGTATAATACGCTGTAGAGGTTCAAGTGGACAGCTATATGCTATAGTTGTACGATCAGAACAATTTCTTCAGATATAATATTGCTGCTTTGGAAAATATTTCATGCCAAATTTCGTGAAGATACCTTTTCAAATAAAAAGGTTTTCCATACAAGAACTTGAATTTGATCGTTTGTTTGTATGACAGCTATATACTATAGTAGTCCGATATCGGCGATTCCGAAAACTAAGCAGTTTTTTTGGTAGAAAAGTTTGTGTACAAAATTTCAGATCGATATCTTCAAAACTAAGGGACTAGTTCACGCATATATATACAGAGACACGAACATGGTTAAATCGACTGAGCTCGTCACGCTGATCATTTATATATGTATTGTAGATATTTTATTGGGCCTCTGACTCAGATCAATAAATCAGACATCCGAAAAGACGCACGGATCATATCGTGTATGAAATATTGGACACGAGAAAGCTCTTGGCTTGTTGCGTGCCGCGTTTGCTCACTTCGGACAACAAGAGACCACTTTACGGCAGTGTTTAACGTTGTTTAAGCGCAATCCGTATTAGCTTTAGCATCGGTCGTGATCGTCAACGAAACATGAATACACTAGTATATAGCACAGGTCAAGGAACAGTGCATTACATCCGGCAAACCGGCTTCGAGGAAGGCAAAGACTGGAAGTCGGAGTGGTGATAGCTAGCGTATTCTGGAATTCACAATGTGTTATCTACACTGACTATTCGAAAAAAGGTCCATTTGTTGAAGAAAATAGTTGCTTTTCCATCATCGTAATGCACTAGGTTACAACTCCAATATGTTCACAACCAAATTTAATGAAATTTAGGCTATGAACTGCTGCACCATCAACCGTATTCTTCAGATTTGGCTGACATCTCCGTACTTCTTTTTTTTCCAAAACTTAAAAACGGCACTCACCAGGCAGAAGTTTGAGTCAAATGTGTACGTTGATGCCGCCACAAAGGTCTATTTTGCAGAACTAGAAAACTATTATTTTTCAGCCAGTTTAAAGATGTTAAAAATTTTCGGTTTTTGTTTCGTAAGTTAAGTACTTATTGGGCGGCCCTCGAATAGATACGAGTATATTCCATTTAATAGGCAATCGATGAACATCTACCAACAAAAACCTGCAAAATTACCAAAAATATTTACTCGTGTCTTTCACAGCTCGTTTACCACAACCGCACTCAGTGGCTTTTATCCTTCATGATAGGAAAAACAAATATTTTCTTTCAATTAAATTTTCACCTTTAACATTTTGTGTATGAACTCGTGGCTACACGCAAATATCCAAAATTTCACTTAACTGTCCTCCAATTAAAACAGACGCTCACAACTTTGTATTGCGGCTGTTGGCATACTATGTAACTACTATAAACTATAAACTTACATACACATATATGCTTGAATGTATGTATTTATGTATGCATGTATGAAAGCATGTACTTTTACAGTTAATCAAATTAATTTAGCAAACGAGCATACCAGTTTTCATTTAGGGCCATTGGTTGGTTGCACGGAGTGTTTAAACTTTATCAACTAAGTATAATGATTACTGCCGTGAACCCATTAAGTGTATTAACAAGAAGAAAAATCAGGATAAAAAGTTAACTACGTTTGTACCGAAGCTAGAAAACCCTTCACAAAACAAGAAGAAAAATCAGGATAAAACGTTAACTTTACAATTCACAAATAAAGAAGTTTCCATACAAGAACTTGATTTTGATTGTTTAGATTGTATATTAGCTATATGTCATAGTGGTTCGATCTGAACAATTTGTTCGTAAATTGTAGCAATGTCTTGGAAAATAATCTATGATAAATTACTTGAAAATACCTTGTCAAATTAAAAAGTTTTCCATACAAGTTCTTGATTTTGACCGGCCAGTTTGTATGGCAGTTATATGCTATAGTGATCCGATCTAGAAAATTTCTTTCGATATTATAGCCTTGCCTTGGAAAATAATCCATGCGAAATTTTGTGTAGATATCCTGTCAAATGAAAAAGTTTTTCATACAAGGCCTTGGTTTTGATTGTTCAGTTTGTATGGTATTCTTAAGCGTTTTTAAGAGAAACGCACTTGTGTGTGATTTCAGAGCGATATCTCGAAAATTGAGGGACAAAACGTCACGCAGAACATTTATATATATGGTATATATTTTATAGGGTCTCCAACGTTTTCTTCGGTGTGTTTGATACCTATTGACAAACTTAATATACCCTGCTGCGGGTATAAAAAGGCATTAAAATCAAAATTACAACACATTTTGAATTGTTTTTTTTTATTAACAAGTATACATTCATATATATTCATACAGTTATGTGCGTGTATGTAGATTACCATGAGACTTTTATAAAAACAGAGTTTGTAATTGAACTTCTCCGCACAGCTTTTAAAAGCATTCACGGTAATTGAATTGATATCAGCGCGAAAAGTTTGTTTATTCCGTTTAATTGCCACAACATTTTCTCACCTAACAAAAACAATGCAACTGAGTTATATTAAATGACGTGTTGTAATCTGGCGCATAAGCGTATTGACAGCTCAATTTGCTTTAGCATAGCAGTAATTAAATCTGTTTTCACATAAGTTTTTTTTTGTACAATCAATTATCAGCGATAAAATCGCACGTTCTCATCAAAAGTTTTTATTTAATTAATTCATTACAACCAACGATATTGACTGTAAAGTATTTTTTCATAACCGTTGTTGTTAACTTTACATGATTTTTTTTACTTTCAAATACATAGCCATGTCAAAATCAAAGCATTTTGTTGAAATTGCACTTTAGGTCAAGGTAACTCGTTTTAGAAGTTGTCTACATGCATATATCTGTTTGTAGGTATATATATATATAAATTTATAGATATGCCTGTCTATTAAAGCATGTGCTTTGCTAAAATTTCCATCTCATGTTAGAGAAAATCGATGTTTCAATCTCACTAGATGGCGCTAAAGTTAAGTTCCTACAAAAATACATTTTTGTCGTCTGATTTGACATAACATTATGTAAATGGGCAAAATCGGACTACAAACGCGCTTGCTTTCCATAGAACAGACATTTAAATTCCTTCTGATTTCCTCATATATCATATCTCATCTAAAAATGATTGAAATATGACAATAATTTTCTAAGACCTTTTTACCAAATATCTATGGCTGACTTTTTACCGAAAATATCCGTTAAACTGTGAAATTTCTTGAAATTCAGCCAAAATAGTTATTTGCCTAATAGTAATGACCTGGTAGCAAAAAGAGTCAAATCGGATCAATACTTCTTCTAATCTCCTATACTCAACGTGTAGAGGCTAAAGGAGAATAAAGAAGAGCCCTCTTAAACCCCGCATAAGTCTTTGGAGTTTATATAAACATTGTTATATATTTTTTCTGAAAAGCAGTACTCTGATTGGGAAAGATATCTTTGAGAGAAAGTAGACTTTCTGGAAGAAAAAAACGACACTCTTTTACCAATCAAAAGTATGCACACTTACTGGCTTGTGAATTTCAGCGCCATAAAAGCATCATATAGTATCGAACCCCATGCAGAAGATGATTTCAAATTCAACGAAGGCTTAAAAGTCCTGCATAGCTTCTATCGCGGGCTTTGAGCATGGTGACTGATTCAAGAAATTCCGTAACGGAAATAAACCTAACATGATCACAAAGTGTGCGCAAAATGTTTGCATACTTGTAGGCGTATTTTCACATATCCCAAGCGGAACAAATCAGTTGAATAGCAGGGTGATTTAAAAACAATAATATAATATTTAAGATACAATTTTTTATTGGCAAATAAAAATATAGAATTAAATAAAAATTTGATTAATAAAAAATATATTATGCAATATTCGGAGTCATAATATTAGTAACATTATTATTATTTTGCTAAATAGCTACGCCACCTTTTGGAACATGAGCTCGTTTGACTTTGGCAGTCCCCGAGTGCCACAGCTCTTTTGTTTTATTCAAGCAGGTATTATAAAAATTACTAAGAGTGTAAGTATCCTTAGCTGATAAGTCCAATAGTTTTCTGTTATCACAGTAAGTTTTTTACGGATAATATATTGAATATTTTATGGGTGTTGGCAAAGCATATATCTACTATATAACCAAAAGTGAACGTGGTAGTTTTAGGAAGCTTAACGCTGATATTTCAT